GGGGGCGGTGGGAAGGCAGAACGCAAACGTATTTCGGCTTTTTGGCTCGTATCCTTGAGCACGTCTTGTAAAACTGTCCGAGCTGCTGGATTTATAAATCTGGGGGTCTTCTCCCCCCTCGGCCTCTCTCCCAGTTGCCGGAGCCCGGCGAGAGCCTGGCGGGAGGAGAGTTAAAAGTAACAAAAGGCTGACCCGAATTTATCGGGCGCTTAACAAACCCCTGCTGCCCATCTTCCCCTTCTTCTTTATTTATTTTATTTTTTAAAATTTTTTTTTAAATTTTTTGGGGGAGGGGGAGGGATGCTTGTGCATCCCCGAGGTGGGGCGAGCGGGGCAGAGGCCCTCCCTCCCGGGAGGAGGGAGGGAGAAAGGGGAACGGGGGGGGCCCTTTTCCTTCACCCTCTCCGAATTTCTGCAGGTGAGAAGCCCTTCAAGTGCGAGTTCGAGGGCTGCGACCGGCGCTTCGCCAACAGCAGCGACAGGAAGAAGCACATGCACGTCCACACCTCGGACAAACCCTACATCTGCAAGGTGTGCGACAAATCCTACACCCACCCCAGCTCACTTAGGAAACACATGAAGGTAAATCACACACACACACACACACCCACCCCTCAATACACACCCCCCATCCCGTTGCACCCCAGCCCTTTCATCCCTGAGCGGGGATGCTCAGTCGCTGCCGTGCTCGGGGGCTCCCCAAGCTGAGGGGTGCAGAGCCCCCCCATTCCCGACGTGGCCCCCCCTTCCTCCCGCCGTGTCTAGGCCGTGGCTGGAGCGGGGAAATGGCGTAGTTTCTTATTTTTTTGTGCTCCCACCCGTGCAAGCGCTGCCCGCTTTCCAGAGCGGGGTGCCGGGAGGGTTGAGCTAAACACAGCCCCCCCATAAACCACCTCTGGGTCACCAGCCCCCCCACCACCACCACGCCGGGTCACCACAGCAAAGTGGCCACGGAGCCCAGGCAGGCGTTTTTGGCCAGGCAGGGGCTGAGCTGCTGGGTCCCAGTATCCCTCCTGAATTGGGGGGGAGCATCCCGAGCCGGTTCAATGGGGTGGTGGTGGTGGGGACCCCCGGGCTCGTTCCCATCTCTCCCTCTTGGTTTTAGGTGCACGAATCCCAGGGGTCGGACTCTTCCCCTGCGGCCAGTTCGGGCTACGAGTCCTCCACCCCCCCAGCAGTGGGTTCCTCCGGCACTAAGGACTCCACGAAAACGCCGCCGGCCGCCCTTCAAAGTAACCCCGGCCACAACCCTGGACTGCCCCCCAATTTTAATGAGTGGTATGTGTGAAGGCAGCCTGCTGCCCCGGCCAGAGACTGGACCAAATGCGTTGGGAACAAGGAAAAAAAACAAATCAAAAAAAAAAAGGACAAACTAAGCCAACTGCAGCTTGCTCCCACAGAAATGGAGTTTCCACACCGACCACCGCGTAGGGCTACACCTAGTTAACTGCCAGGATCCGGAGGGGGGGGGGTTTGTCTTTTATTATTATATTATAATTATTACTATTTTTTGCAAGCCCAGACGCTGGACTAGCCATGTCCTTTTCTCAGGATTGGATTTCTTCTTTCTTTTCTTTTTTTTTTGTTGTTGTCATTTTTTTGCAGTCGCAGTCGTTTCTTTGATATTTTTTTTTTTTTCCTTCCCTGCCCCAGTCCCTCTTCCTCCGATTCCCCACTGTTTTGTTTTTTTTGTTGTTTTGTTTTGTTTTTAATTATTCTGAATTTGTTTTGCTTTTCCTTCTTCGGTGGGATGTTGACATGAGGATGAAAATTCTCCTTCGCCTTAGTGGTGATTGTTTAAACTTACAGTCTTAAACCGTGCCAAAGTCCTGTTATGTCTTGAACTTTCCTCTCTAGCTCTCCTGCTGCTTCTTTCTCTGCTCTCCTCCTCTTCCTCCTTCTCTCTCTCTCTCTCCAAGCATTACACTTGTGAATGTATTCTCGTCTGATGGGGTCGGTCAGTATTTTTCAGGATGAGGATGTGGTGTTTATTCTACCCAGATTGTGACGTTTAGTATAACAGTTGCCTTTTTGTAATAACTTTTTTTTTCTTTTTTTTTTTTTTGTAAATACATATCCATGATGCCATATTTATCGTTCGTAATTTAATTATTGATACAAAGTGCCGGGAACTGAACAATATTTATGGGGGAGAAAAAAAAAAAAAATTGTTTTCTAACAAAAAAAAAAAATACAAACAACAAAAAAAAAATTAATTTCCAACTCTGTACAGCTTTTGGTTATAACTGCTTTAGCATTAAAAGTTTATTGTTTTGGAAAGAGCCGTTTTTGACCTCCTCCGGGGGACGGGGCGGCCGTGGGGGGGCCCGGGCCGTTGTTTTCGGGTTGTTTTCGGGCTGGCGATGCCGGGTGAAGCCTCTTTTCTTGGTTTTGTTTTTTTTTTTTGTCCCCTCCCGTCCTTTTCTTTGTCCCCGCCCAACGGCTTGGCTTCCCCGCCGCCTTCCCCCGCCGGGGGAGAGGAGCCCCGGGGCCGCCGGGACCGGGATGTGGCGGGGAATTTGGTGGGGGGGGGGTGTCCCCGACGGTAAGTACCGGGGCCGTCGTAGCTCCCACCGCCCCGGGATAATAATTCCCGGCAGAGCCCCCGGGGCAACTTGATGCTACAGACTTTCTCCGTTATCATCTGTTTTTTGGTGGTTTTGTTTGTTTGTTGTTTGGGGTTTTTTTTCCCTTTTTTTTTTCTTTCTTTATTTCTGACCAGGATGCGGAAAAGCCTCCCTGTCCCCAGAAGAGATAAAGTCGTGGAGCAGAAAATCATCCCACTCCAGAAACTTCTCCGGAGCATCAAAGCAGCCAGGGTGATGGTGGAAACCCGTGTCCCCCCCCCCAATCTCCCCCATCCCCAAGCCGAGAGATGCCCGTGGTCCCTGCCGGGATGCGGCTCCGTATCCTCCCTCCATCCCTCGGATGGCAGGGACCCTACCCCGGGTTAAACCCAGCTTGGGGGGGGGGGGGGGGG